AGAGTATGATGGTCAAGTCTTCCGGAAGGTCATCGACAGGATCAGAAGCAGCTGGAGAAGGTGATATAGGTAAAGCAGTGTCGATGTAAGAAGTTGACGATGAGTCGCTGAAAACTCTTGAACGCCTTCGTGCACCTTGGGAGCCATCTTCGGAAAGGCCCGAGCGAACACCCATTTCCATCTCTATCGTAGCTTCTCTGTTAAGGTCGTCATAGTATCTGGCCTTTCTTGAGACATTTCCTTGCTCGGATCTCAGTGTAGAGAGGGTGAGAGATGGAATCTTGTTTCCTTCCTCATCTCTCTCCCTGGCAATGAGTTTCTGGAAGGCCGACGGAGGTGCAGAGGTGGACGAGGATGAGGTTCTCGTGCGGAGCCTTGGAGCAATGGGTTGAGCTTCCTGTTGAAGCGGGGAGGTAGGATCCTTTGACGGGGGAGCAGGCGGCCATGCCGCAACTTGAGCGCTCACAAACCCAGACCCTGATGCCCGCCTGGAGAGCTGTGGTGACTCAACAGGTTGCTCAGTATACGCCGCATCTATCAATATTAGGTAAGAGAAGATATCGGTACAATATAGATCCAACGTACCATCATTCTGAATTATCTCGATAGGCTGAAATTGAGCAGATACCCTCCTATTTGCATTGTGCTTTGGAACGGCTCCCGGTTCTTGACGAGCCATTGGACTGTTGATAAGTGCCTCCATGGCAAGGGCGAGAGGATCCCGTTCTACAAACACTGCGCTGGATCAACCATCACCAAGCCTGATTCGAGATATCTCTACGGCCTCTGATATGTCTTGCCCAACCCCTCAGCGTTCGGCAGACTCTCCAGGGTCCTTGTTTGGTTCTCGAAGGAAGGGCAAGAAATCTCCAGGAAAGCTTTACGGTGGCCTGCTCAGCCCTACCTCTGACATTAACAGCTTTGGAAGAGCTGATGTGTCGCTCGACAGCGAACCTCCATCCAAGATTGAATGTCTTGATGGAGAACTTGTCGCGATTAGAGCTTCTGGCGCGGCTTCGCCCTGTGAACAGGCTCGACAGAGAAAGGCTTCTGTCACGGAGACGCAGCCCGAGAAGAAAGCAGCCAAAGAGGATATTCCTGTAGCTGAGGTCCGTCCGAGACCACGAACTGTGGGCCACCGCAGGGCTCGTACCTTCCATGCTCGTCCACTCTCGCTTTATATCCCAAATGACGACAAGGCCGAAGAGGAACGTTTCCCGTCCCACTCGCGCCGGTATTCCAGCGTGAATGGCTTCGACTCCTTTGCCGCGCTCCATAGCAGCGGCCCCTTCTCTGCCGATTCTGAGGAATCATCCATGGTCTTGCGACGATATTACGCATTCCAAAGGGAGGTCGAAGAAGCTCTGAATCAATCTCGTCAGCAGAGGCGAAACACGGCCTTTTCGGACGATGAACTTTCCAGTGAGTATTCTCTAGC